GAGAAAGCTTCTTGATGTCAGCTGGGGTACTATTGAGGAATGCATTCAGATAGAGAGAGCGCTCCAAGGTCCCTCTGTCCAGGCATAGCACAGATTACCCTAGTTTTCCCAGATTCTAATTCTGTCAAAGTTTTCTCTGTAGCAATAACGTAGAGTTGAAAATCTTCACTCACCTTGATTTTCTATCATCCGTTTCTACAGTAGTTAACTAGCAATAAAACATTTTAAAGTATTGAAGCATATACAGAAAAAGAAGATAATACTGACCTACCTAATTTCTTCCTGGCTTGGTATATGTTCAAAGCATTAAATCATTTGTAGTATTGTTTAGGACACTGACTTTTATTGTTTGCAAGAAAAATCCTTAACCTCGGTTGAGTTCTCTTGCATCTCTGACTATTTTTGGCATTCATCTCAGTTACGGACCTGATGAAAGATTAGCAGAGAATAAGGTCAGATTCCAATCCAAATTCCAAGCAATCTACCCAGTGGAATATTCTCTTCTTGCTCGACAAGCCAACTGTTGAAGGGGGTTTACTGAAATGTCTAATTTGCAACCTTTATTATTGGATTCTTCAGTAAAAATTATCCTTCTTCCTTGTACGCTGGCAGAGAAGAGTTAAATGAGGGAGAGAAGAGAGTCAAAGAGTATAAACACTTTTTTTTTTTTACTTTGAAAACCTCTTTCCCACCTAGCTATCATTAATATGAATAAAAGTTCTGTAATCTACCTGCCTGCATCTTTAGGCACCTTTTTAAAATTATACTCTACAAACTGTAAAGATGAAGTGGAGAATGTTCACAATATTTTCTGCACATACACATACAAACATGATGAAAAGAAATTTAACTACTTCAATTTCATCTGGAGATGGGAGGAGGGGAGAAAAAAAACCATAGTGCATTTTAACATTCAATTGGTATCAACAGGCTGTGGGTTGTTTGCCACGGCCTTCTCTCATGGAAGACTGCATCATCTTCAAGAGTAAACTGAAGCAAGATGAACTGAAATAGTCAAACCTGGGAAAGAGAGAACCATGGAGCAATAAGACAAATCCCATGGCTTCAAGATCAGGTTGCAGTTTACTCAATTCATGAAAGAAGGTGCCATGAGCTGTGTTTTGATATCCACACTCCCAAAACCGACACAGTTCCCAGACTTGTATCAGACTGTCAGTCTCTACAGCACAACCATAGGGCACCCTCAGTCAACAGAGAATATGATCACTGCTCACATCAAGACCTCTCCCAAGCAGCTGCTCCTGCGCTGTTTCTGGCCCCTGCCAGATTCTAATCGGTATAAGTCAATGTCTTTCTACGCAGGATATGCTTTCCGTAGGAGGTTAATATTTTTCATTTCCGTTGCGTTCAGATTTATTGGATATTAGTGGTGGGTAATGCTCCATTAGGAAGGAAAGTAGTTCCTTTCATAAAGCTTTGCACTGGAAATACAAACTACTTTTTCCTCTGAAGTAAAAGTGTTAATTGTTATTTTCACACAATTACATGCATTCTTTCAAAAATTCTTTCTGCTCTTTGCTTCCCAACAGCCTGCATGGCTTTGTGCTCCCCCTTGAGATGAAACAGAATTAATTAAAGCATAGCATGTTATGCCTGCCAAGTTAGTACTGTGTGTGCGCGTGTAATGTAAATTGGTATGTTGTTTGTCTATGAATATTCTAAATTCTGTCATTATGTATAGGAGATTTTATTTCTACTTATCTAAAAATATACTTCACCCAAGGAATGTATAATGTTCATCAGTTGGATCTGATTTTTCTAATACTATTTCTGTATCACAGTGAAGAGGCAGCAGGGTTCTATTCCAACTTTCTACTCTACTATAAATAGAATGGACTGTTGATAAAGTTCACAGTTTTGTTTTAGTTTTTATTATGTCCTCCAAAAATCAGATCTTTAAACCTGCCAAGGTTCTGTTGCTTGCCATGTCTCTTAAGAATTTTGGGGGGTGGGGGGGCGGGGGGAGGTTACGCAAGGTAGAATATGAACTCTCAAGCAACCATGTATCATGCTCCTATCCAACTATTTGGACCTTAGACTATAAATCTTCATTACATTTCAAATCGTTTCATTTCAGCCACAGCGCCCTGTGCTTGCTCATGAAAACATACACAGTGGGGGGGAACCGTAAGTATACTTCTTGTCTACTAAACCAAAACCTAACATTTAAGCAATAGCCAGCACATTGTCAAATAATTTGTTAACCTGCCAAGTACAATTATGAAGAGATTCCAGAAATTTACAGATAACCGCATGATGTAGGAAGATATCCAAGAAGGTCCCAGAGGGCAAAGCCTTAGTTGTTTAATTTACATCAAACTCAGACAGACATGCCAACTTACAGTTCTTCATTGTTTATACTTAAAAGGGATAATAATTTTGTAAAAATAAAGTTTGACTTTTTTTATTCACTGCTTTACTGACTTGACACAAATTATTCAGAAACAGTTCTGGATGTGAATAGAGAGAAAAAAATAACTATAATGTTGATCACAGGAACACAGGCTCACACTTTTTGGTGTAATTTACATGTGCAATTTAAAAATTGGATACAAGAAAGCCTTTCTGAAAACTGAAGAACCACCTAGATCTCAAGTCTTATTTTCACAAACAATGTAATCACTTGGGATAAAACACGTAAGGGCATGTAAGAGTATTTCAGTGCTGACTATTAAAATGCAAGTTCAGTTCAAGATTGTTTCAATTTTTTTTTTTTTTTTCCCCCAGTCTTGCACTTGGGTCCTGCTTCAGTGATCATTAAAACCAGTAGCCATTCTTCCTTTAGCATCAGAGCACTTTGGAGTATGCCCTATTACATGAATTCTCCTAAGGCTTAACATCTAAAAATATTTAAAAGTTTACCTGTTAGTCACTTGAAGGAATGGCAAGAGAGAAGAGAGGGGCAAAAAGTTACTAAATAACTATACCACAGATAATATATAATGAAAATTAGACATTCTGGTTTCAATCGCACCAAAACCATTTTTCTCAAGCTCCTATTGGTTTTGTTGAGCGTACTGAAGCACCTAACTCTGTTTTGTAAGCAATAATTATCTAATTAATTTTGTTCAACATAGTTTAAGTAGTTCATGACTAAAGTTACTTATTCCTAAAGTTAAAAATAGAAATATATTTAAACTGTCCACTAACCATTCTTTGTCTTGAATATGTATTCTGTTAGTGTTGTAAATGGCAGTAGAGTTTTCATGTTTAAGAAATTCCTAGATTAGTAAAGAGAGAATGAAATTACTACAAAGGAGTTATTAAAATGGATTATCTAGAAATGACTAAGATTAGATTTCAAAAGTACAAAGAGTGCTAATCGGGAAGTTCTTGTTAGTGTGTTTGAGTAAGTAATTGGTTTGAATCCTATTCATGACACATTACAGCTGCAACTCCTATACCTTTGGAAGCTGCATTTAATCAGTTTTGGAATATCATCATAGCTCTGCTTTCCTCGAATAACGATAAGCATGACAGAAAATGTTATTGCCATTTAATTTTTTGCACAGATCGTTCTTACTCCTGCTACACAAATTACCAGAGGTAATTGCTTAAATAACCACTCCCGTTCCATTCTGTTAGTATGATTAAAATATAAAATCAGACTTTACAGATTTAGGGAGATAACTGCCAGTCACAAAAAAAATCTTTTTTTTCTTGGAACAGTGTCTTTTTTTTTTTTCCCTCTCCAAACCAGCAGTCTGAAAAATAAGTGTGATTTATTCAAAAAGATCATCATTACACTAAGCCTAGTACCAGCCTGTATATAGAATTTTCAAATGGGACATTCAGGAGCAGGATTTTTTTACCTAAATAAACATCCTATTTAAGCCATGGATACTTTGCCTGAATGATACAAAGCTAATGGAACTATTCAGTACCAACACATCGAAGGGGGAGTTACTTTGTTTTTACTGGGGGAAGTGTAATGGCATTAAGGTTTTAAAGTCAGTAAACTGTTGTTAAGCAGGAAAAATGGACATGATTATGTTTTGTTTTGATATTTTGAAATTAAAACCATTTCCTTTGTACAATTTCAGTTGTACCCTGCTCCTTTACACAGTCAGTCATAGCTGGGGAACAGACGGTTAGAAAAAACAGGCAGATTCTGACTCTGCAGGACTCATGGGCTTTTGCAGCAGTCTTCCCGTGGGCTGTCAGCCCAAGCACCTTCAGTTCCCCTTAAGAGTTTATTGCCATTCTTTCAATTCCAGGAAACTCAATTAAAAGCTGACAAGGAATGAAAGATAATAAATTTAGTAATCTCATACCTCTTTCCATTTATCCACCTCAGATCCTTCAATCTGCAGCCCCTGGCTGGGGTGGAGGTACAAATCAGTGTCTGAATACTGTTTGAGTTTCCATTCTTATGTCCCCTGATTTGATTCAAGCCTCTCCCTCACTCTCAGATTTTTTTTTTTTTTTTTGTTGTATCTGTAGAACAGGGGCAGTTTTAGCCAGGGAAGGGGTTACAGCTGCATGTTTCCAAATAGCAATTACCCTCCACCTTCCCCACAGAGGTAGGCACCTCTTTTACATGCAGGGCTCCTATAATGCCCAGTCTTGCCTCAGCAGTTGCTACTGAGGAGCCCCGGGAGGACCCCCAGTCACAGCGGTGGCGCGTGTGAGCCACTCTTCCTGGGCACCCTCTTCCACCGACTACAGAAGGATGCCAGGCACCTTGGTTATGCTGTGTGGCACTTTGCTCTGCTGGGGCCAAGAATGCGTACACTAGGTTCAGCTTTCCAGAGCTCAAAGGCAGAGCCACAGTTTTAGGTGCTGACCGTGGCAGGTTAAGGGGCTAGCGCATCTACAGACTCCCCACTCCAGAAGTCTTCTGTTTTGGTGACTCAACGGGAACCCACACAACAAACAACCTAGAATTCTGTGTTCAAAGCAACTGGTTAAACTAACTGGTTGAGGAGCCATCAGGCTTGCCTTGAGTCCACAGTCTTTAGTGTCTGATGAGTTACCTTTCTGATAAAGTTTTATTTATTTACCTAGCCCTGAAGTCCACCAGGCAAAATAAACCCTTTTCCCCTATATTTGCAAGAAGTGTTATGTATTAGTTAATGTTTAAACCAGGTCCTTTACTTCAGCAAAGGTGCAAAGAACTCTTACTTCTTTTTAAAATGCATCATTTGTCCTATTTAAGGTTTCAGGCTCTATATAACTATACTCCTAGGAATGAAGATGAATTGGAGCTCAGAGAGGGAGATGTCATTGATGTGATGGAAAAATGTGATGATGGATGGTTTGTGGGTATGTTTTAATTCAGTTGCTTTTTCTTCCACCCCCCACCCCCCCCCCCCCCCGCTGCCCTCTTTGCTTGGTGTCTTTTAAACAAATTAATGTTTAGTATTCAGTGTAATAAACGTGAACCTGGCTTTATCAGGAGAAATCCCAAACAAAATCCACTGAAGTTAGTGGGAGATTTTTCACTTGTGTCTTTTGGAATTGATGGACGCAAATTGACATGTGCCTCCAGTTTGTTGTACAGCACTGTTGTCATTCTCATGTGACACAAAATGGACTATGTATTACTGCTCTCTTCATAAAGACCAGGTAACATAAAACTTCCTCACATGAATACATCTACAGCATTGACTGCTTGTGAGAACCAAGTATTACTGAACAGAGATTTCATAACTAAGCCTAGATAAGGTGGCTTAATCATTCCATAAACCCTCATGCACACAGTGGCTAACAATCATCTAACTAGTCCTCAGCATTTCAAAAATTCAAATTATTTAAATAGACTTGATGTTAAATTATTTCTATGTACCAAGTCAAAATTTTAGCACAGATTTTAATCAGGCCTAACAATTTAATCAAATATGCCTCTGTATTTGCTTTTTCCTTCCTGCAGTTACAGTTTGTTAAAACTCACAACTCACAAATGAAATTCAAAACAACTTTTTGAAGTTATATTATAAAGAACTGTAGATATTTCCGTTTGTGCAATATTAGGCATAAAAATTTAAAGGCCATGCTTACATAGTGATTTCCTGTTGTTATTCCCATCTTTCATCTATTGCTTCTAATTTCAGGAACCTCGAGAAGAACCAAATTCTTTGGTACTTTCCCTGGAAACTATGTCAAGAGGCTGTGAATTTTTTTTTTTCTACTTATTTATGCTGCATCTCTGCAACACATCTGCATAAAGCTGCTAGAAAACATGCTATGCTGGCCTTCTGTTTTCTTGCTTGCGGTCTCAAATAGAGGCCATCTAGTTCATCCTCATCCCATCCCATCTGCCAAACCGTTCCAGCAGTATTACAGCAACGACCACGGTGTGAATAACTAAGCTTTTCTGAAACAAGAGGAATCGTTTCAACATTTAAATGCTCCCTGCTTTAAAGTCTTTTCATTTGAAACACAATAGGAAAAGCCTGATGACAGCTACACAGATGAATTGCCATGGGGGGGTGGGGAGGTGGAGAAGATGTTCTTGGTTTGGACATTTGTGGTACTACCATGAAGTCTGATGGGATTTTTTCCAGCATGCATGTAATACAGGGGGAAGTTGCTGTTTACTATTTTTAAAAAATTGAGTTTCCACATTCTTATTAGCTTGGCAGCATTTGTTGCTTTCACTTTGCCGTATCACAGGTTTGCCTATTGTACTGGTTTACAATGTATTGCAAATTATAATATAGATTTTTTGCCTGCACTTCTATGTTGTAACATATGCACAGTGATTGTAAAATCTCAAACAAGCATAGTGAAAAATGGAAGAATTGCAAGCGTTCTGAACGGGTGCAATGGTATTGGCGAAACCTTTTTTTCCTTTTTTCCCTAATAAAGCTATAGTGTTTTCTGTTAAAAGGTAAGAAGTGCAAGAGGCATAAAACCTCGCGAAAGAGGATTTAGTGAAGAGACAGACAATGATACAAGCATAAACAATAATAACTTGCTGCTGATGTCTGGCATTAAATGGTTGTAATCAAAACGTTGTAATAGTAAGCAACATGAAATTTGAGAGGTTAGTGTTTTTACTTATCACAGGAATTTTAAGAAGCAGGAAGTAAACGGCGTTAGTGCAAAGGGTTGTTGGGTTGGGGTTTTTTTCCTAACATAGCCACCTGAAAAATATTCACAGGTATCATGTACTGATTTATTTCACTATATATATATATGTATGTTAAAAAAACCTGAGTTACACATTCTTTTTAGAAATTTAGTACAGAAAAAAAAGTCACAAGTATTAAAACTGATACATTTGAGAGGTGGTGTTTTTTTTTTCCTGAATGAAACAAGTATTTGAAAACATACATTTTCCGTAAGCAAAGGTAAGCATAAATAGCAAATGAAATTAAGGCACAGGACGATAATGACTATGGCTTTATAAAAATACAGATTTGGTTTCTTCAGCACCTTATAGATGGCAAAAGCTTCTACTGCATTTCTCATGGGTAAAGGATTGAAGTTATCAAAATGTATGTAGTCTCTGTAGTATTTTGTACATATGTTTGCTTTTTTGTACAGAGCCATTTGGTTGTTGATTTTTAAAAAAAATTAAGTTCCTTATTTGATCTTTGCCCTCTTCACATACAAAACATTTCAAAGCATTTTTCTTTCTTGCTCTATTTACCATAAGCACATCTGGATAGTGCAATTCTGTAAGATAGCATTTTATGCAAAATTTTATTAATTAAAATATGGTTTACCAGCCAAATCTAAATGTACATATGTCTTTATTACTGAGAAATGTCATTAAGACAAAGGTAAAGAAACATCTTTGTGCAGCATACCTTTATTATTGCAGATTTCATGGCAAAAGCTTTATATTCGAAGGCTTTCAATTTTAAACTAGATCTGCATGCAGCTTTGCTGTGAGATTAATACCTATCTTTGATGCCATTTATGATTGAAGGCTTAAATATCTGTTGCCTGTGATATTTAAAAAGTACTGTTTCTACTCTGTATCTGATTTTAGAAAAATACACATTTTTCATACCTGGCTTTCAGGTAACTGACTTTGAATTCCTACAAGCAAAAGGTCTCTGTGGTTTTTTTCTTGAATAGACTTCTAATAAATTTTGCTTGGAGTACACAACTGTTTCCCCCCCATCATTTCTCAAAATACACGTAACATATTACTTAAGTGTTGCAAAGCACTTAACTCTTCGAGCTTATATGCAGTTTTGCCTTGTACAGAGGTTTTTTCCTACCGCCAAGCATACACCGGTTATATATATGGGCAACTAGCATTGCCCACACAGCTCTCAGTTGGTCTACTTCAGTGTCATCCCTAAAACACTTGAATCCAAAAGCAGCTTTATGGACTTTTTGCATTGACTGTGCTAATTTGAGATAATTTTTCTGGCTCTGGCAGCCACCCTTCACTCCGGAAGCACAAAGGTGAAATACACAACAGTAAGCCCTTTATAGCTGGCAAAAGTTCCCATGCCCTAATCCTTTCCTTTCACAAAAGCAAAACAAGAAACCCTCTGTAAAGTGACAGCACGGAAGCAAGGTTTAAGGAAAATACAGATACTTGTGGAGCATCTTACACTTGGGATTCTGCCTGCAAAACTGAATTATACCATATTAATGGCTCTGTCTGGCAAGGATCAACTGTTCAAACAAAAACAAAACCTGCAACAAGAAGCAAAGTAAGCAAGCAGCAGCCTTCCCCCCCCCGCCCCCGGCTGGTAACACACCTACTGCTAGTGCCTCAGAGTAGCTCTTTGGTCCTGCTTCTCCAAGCCATGCTGGCCGCCATTGCCAGGCTGCCTCCTCCCAAACGCTGTGTGCGCTGTACTTCCACCCCTGAAGAATGCAGCACGACAGCAACCTGCGTTTGGACAGGAATAACTTACTTCTTCAAGTCTCATTCATTCTCAGTTTTGTCTTTACAGCAGCTGGGCTGGAAAATGCAAAACCACCGTCGGCTCTAAATAAATACATGAGTATGTAGCTTAAAATGTTAACTTTGTCTGCAGGACTGCTGTTAAAACTCCAGCAGATAAACTCCTTTGTCAGTATAAACAATTGTTGGTGCTGGGAGTGCATTCAGTTTAGACAAGGCCCAATTTATTATTGCTGAGGTAAACGTGCCCTTCCAGTGCTAAGTTAGCTTAAACCCACCACATGCATCTCTTCTGACAGCTCTGTAACCAAATACTGCAATATACAATCAAACGTCGTGTGGTTTGTCCTTTCTGTTTGCTGGGTGACCCAGCATGGGATCTGGGACAGCGCTGAAGCACTGCTTTGTGCCATATACCTGTAAGAACTGGAAGAAGCCGGAAGGATTGTGCTTTGCTAGTATTCTTCTATAAAAGTTAGCCTAATAACATCAACTGGTTGGTGTAGTCTCACTAATATAAAAAAAAATTCTGGATGGTTAAGGGTCTGAGTGGTTAAGGGGTGAAATAGCATCCTCTTTGCTAATTGCAAAGGGGATAAAAAAAAGCAAAAAGATAGGTCACTGTAATAAGAATAGCAAGTCATTGACACTTCAGAAAAAACTATAGTGTTAATGTTTTAGTCAAAAAGTAGAGAAATACTAAAGTTATGACCAGGTAAACCAAATATATTCAAATCGGCTAAGTCTGCCGAAATCCCACCTACGCTATTTAAGGAACAGACTGAAGGATTTTTTTGAGCTTCCTTGTATAAGCCTTTTATACTCCCCTATACATTCATGAAGGAGACCCCACAGGACTAGGCAATGCTGTGTCCTTAAGGCCAGAGGAAGAGAGACCTGAGGAATTAGAGGCCAGCCAGTTTATTATCTAGGAAGAGACCAGAACAAATCAATTAAAAGCCTCAGATATTCACAGATTTTTCTAGAAAATGATGTATCAAATCAATTTCCCTTTACCTTGTCAGGATATGTAGCATGCATCTTGATTTCTGTTAGGATTTTCTTTTAATGCTATGACACAGCAGCTGTGTTAGCAGACTAAGAAAAGTCTGTGTCAGTCCACATGAAATCAAGTTTGTTGCAGAGTTGTGCTACATTACAGAGAAATAGGTAACATAACCAGAGTGTCCCTAAAAAAAAAAAAAAAAGATTCCACCACCTATGCTGCAGCGAGCCGTGCACCTGCTGTTGAGGCAAAGGCCTCTTAAAACAAGAAAACCCGCAAGTCACCAACAAGCCAGGGAGACCAATGCATGGGCAGTGCAGGGTAGTGATCTATATCCCAAACTCAGCCAAGGGTCACCGCAGCAGGTTTAACATTCTGTCACCCGTACCAAAGCAAAGCATGCTGTCATTCTGCGATGCCTGGTATTTTCTAGTTGCCTTTTAAATGCTGATGCACAGAACCCGGACAGGAACACGAGGTGCTTCCTGTGCATTTGAAAAAGCAGTGCACGAGCCAAGGGGAAGCTAGAAACATGAAGTCAGTAGCTCTAGAGGGACCTTGGGTCATTGCTAAGTATATTCCCTTACAGCGTTTATAGTTACATGGTAAAACCCTACCTTTGCTCCAGTTAACAGCAAACACCGTTGAAGTCAACAGATCCCACAGTATTGGTCATACAGTTTCTACGTTAGCTTGAAAAGAAAATTGCACAAGAGAGAGGCACTGAAGCAACTGAATGTCCGGTTTGGGTTGGTTTTATTATACTGAAAAGTATGAGTGCAGGCAGAGACCAGAAACCGCTTCTTTAACCGCTCGCACTTCACAGCACAGCAGATAGGTACTAGAGGAGGGAAATAATTGGTAAGTTAACTTAAAGTCAAATTATATGTGGCTCCAAAGTTGCAAAAACATATTGAAAGGGCCAATAATTCCATTTTTAAACATGTTTATACAGCAGAACCCCTTGTTACATCCAGCAAATATCAATCAGGCTAAGATCTGAATCCACCCATTTTACAGAGCAGGGAACTTGCCAGACCAACATGTAGAAATCGGTACCTCGTCCATACACAGTAAGCAGGGAAGATGAGTTTAATAAGGCTTTCTTCTGCAACTCTACAGGTAATCAATCAACATCATGCTATTTGTCTGACTGGATGCAAAAAACACCATTTTACTTTTATCCTCGCCCCCAATGGCCAGATAGTTAAGTTCCTACGTCCTAGCAAAAAATTGTCCAATAGAATCTATTATTCTCATCAATACAGTGAAGTCATATTCCTTTGACAATTAAAAAAATATTTATTTTATATATATATATGTAGAATATGACAGAAATCCACTGAAAGGGAAGCAAAAGAATGAATTAATTCCTCCTTGCACTACCCTGAGTCAGATACTATTTAGGCCAAAGAAAGTGATACCGGTGACATATAGGCTCTTGTTCATGTATTTTGTGTCACGTCTGAAACACAAAAAGAATAACAGAAGTTTCTAGGTTAATATGCAGTGATGAAACCAGGGAAGAGCCTGAACAATCCTGCAGGTACAATTTTTAGTGTAATCCTACTGGCTGGTTACACTGTGCGCCATCATTCTTTAGCAGCTCTGCACCCAAAACTCCCAGCTCCTGTTTCATTTGCATCACTGTGAATCCCATATATAAAGCATTACAGAATTATGCCTTCTAGTATTTAACTGCTGTTTCTTCAAGAGTCATAGAGAAGGAGCAAAGTTCTGCGTTAACAGACTATTTAACATTACCAGAAAGTAGAAAGCATTCTTACTAAATTAGCTCTAATGCCTACAATAACTATCCCATAGCAATTTTTTATGCAGCCTTTGTATAGTGACGTCACATCTAATTACAGATTGGGTGCACAGAGGGTTCCGCTTCAGCAGAATGGCTTTACATCACAAATGACACCATAGGAGGGGGCAGGGGGGAAGTGTTGACTGACAACAAGAAACGCGTTGCTAGGTTTATCCTCAGTACAGATACTCACATCTCAACAATTTACATTTCTCGCTGCCAACACAAATAACAAGCTTGGAAGCCATTATTTCATCACCCACATACATGCATAGCAAAGTAATACTCCTACATTTTCCATCCATCAGAGAAATCAGAAAACCACTTTAAAAAATACCCCAAGAATAATGTAATTATTTATTTCTACCACTGAAGAATTACCACAGAGTTACACATGCTGACTCTTGATACTTCCCTCCAAAAAGGAGGAGATACACTTCTCTGTTACAAGCCACTGTTTCCCTTTGCAAGAAAGGGTCCTGTATTCACACGGGTCCGCTTTGGGTGCCAGGCTCTAGCTCCAACTGATTTGAACAGCAGTTAGCTATTTAAATATATTAAAGGATCTGGTCCTTTAAGACTTTTTTGGCTATCTTACATTAAAATAAAGTGGAGGCATTATATTTCAAGATTTTCTACAAGTGCCACTTGTAGAAATCAAGGAAATGGACCATCGTATTAATCAAACCTTCAGTTCTTTGCATCAAGATTTTTTTCTCGACACAGAGTTAAGCATACAACTGAAACCAGCACTGCAGACGGGGAACACTGAAGAGACGGAACATGTCGTTCTAAGTGGGTCATCGCACTGCTTCTGTCCCTGTGATTTGCTAGATAAACCCCAAGCATGCAACGACCCAACTCATGCTTCCCCAGGTTAACGCTCCAAACTGTAATGTGAAACATGTACAAATACTGGCTGGCTCAAGACCTGCTAAAGGCTTTTCTTACACTACCACTGATTCATCTGTTATAGATAGGGTTTTTTTTTCTCCACATGTAACTGGAAATATTTGAACAGGTGAGAATCAGCCCTTCCTCCTTAAACCATAAAAGAGAACAAATGAATGTGTCCAGTGTGCCTGAGGTAGTAGAGGGCAACACTTATATGCCACCGAAGAGCTCTAGGAACTATTTATAGATTCACTTCATCTGCTCCTGCAGCCAACTCCAAGGTACAAGGCACAAAGCAGCACTACGCACAAAGCAGCACTACACACAATCTGAAGTGGAAAGCACAAAGGCAATATGCCATCAAAACCACAGGGAAACATCTAGGACGCACAAAAACCCCCTCTGCTAGCCACCAATCCATACCTATGTCCTGAAGTGAGCAGACTGCTATAGAGGGGTGCAAAATTTTTGTACCTACTATTTAAGTCAAAAGGAGCTCTAAAGAAGAGTGGTCAGAGGAAAAAATCGGCCC